AGCAGCGATGAAAAACAATACTACGAGGCAACATCAAAACAGCAGGGAGTATCGATATATCTAGCCTAGAGCACACGGTTGTAATTCAGCAAAGCTACGGCGTGTGGTTCGTAAATTGGTGCGAAGCGCCCAGATCATGAAACAACAAGGTGGGAAAATTGCACTCGGGTCGTCAAGAGGCCTGGTACAGTCGATGCCCAGCCTTATCGCAGCTCAACCTGGCGCCCAATCAGAATCCTTTCTCAAAACCCCCGATATACGTGCAATGTGAAATCCGTTTGAGTCACTCATGATTGCGTCTGCGACCAGTATATAGCAAGGGACAAGTCGTTGCCGACGAGGTTTCGTCGCCACGGAACTGTGCACCGCCATCGCCTTATCGCTTCACAAGAGTCGCACACTGGCAACAAACATCGCCACACAAGCCCCCCCCCCCCCCCCCCCCCCCCACCCCCCCCCCCACAAATACCCACCCATTTTGTCGTGTGCTCGTGCGAAACCCTCATTTGCCCGTGGCGAGGGACAGCGAAATACTTGACCGATTGAATCCCCGGCACCCTAAAATCTTTTGCGACTCTGACGAGCTTCGTTTGTACAGACGATGTCCGCAAAGTGCCCTGCCCAAAAAAAATCCCAATTGCCCCCCCCCGCCCAATAGCAGAAGTTTACGGGCAGTATCCGTTTCGAGAGAGTCCCCCGCGCCGGCTACTGTGCTGAGTCCTCATGACAGCGGCGATGAACATGCGGACAGCGACGAAGCAGTTGCAGCCTTCTGGTTTTCGCCACATATTTTCGGACGGCGTCGCGAGGAAGGTTCGTCCAGGCCCAAATGACCTTTCGCATTTTTCGCGAAGCCGCGAACGACACGAGGGCAATGGAAACCAACGGAACACCACAAATGGGAAACGCCTCGATGACTCAGCATGGCATGACCCCTAGGCAACTGACTCAACTAGAGCCTTATTCCGTCGAAACAACTGCACACTTATCTTTGCCGCACGACTAGTGAAATCGAGCCTTCAAAGCGACGGTGTTCCGAAAACCCGTCATCGCTTACATCCTCGAAGTGGTAAACACCGGAAAGAGAGAACGGGCCCCACCACCAAACTCAACTTTCCCCGTGAACAGTGACATTTCGCCAGGGCCTCAAAGGCCTCTCGTTATTTTCGCCGAGTCGCGTACGACACGTTGGCAAGGGGAACAAGCTGCGCACCGCGAATTCTGACCCTCATGCAGCGGAAATTAGCCAACCCCTGTTCACACTCGACAATGCAAACTTGAGTGAGGCCCGCGAAGAGAACTAAGTAACTATTTCAACCTATAAACGCCTGATAAAATCGCTTTGCAACACTTACTCGACGGCTACAGCCAAACGTACAGGTAAGGCAACGGCTAAATCACATGTCACAAACACGGCCTAGCATACCACCCCACACGATAACACTAGAGGTGGCCCAACACTATGAATAACGAGCTCAAACTTCCCCTGCACATCAACCACGTAGTTTGCATCGAGAACCACCATGCCTCGAGTTCATCGCCGAGCTCAGCTCCCCCTGGAGGTGAAGCGCGCGATTTGCAAGCACCACGCAGACTACCCTCATCTCCGCCAGGAAGATTTGGCTCGATGGTGCTTCAGTCGGTACGGATTCAAGCCCGACCGCTCTACCGTCGGGAAAGTCCTCCGCGACGAAGTTCGTTGGTTCAGAGAAGATGCGCTTGCATGCGACCGTCGCATCCGCGGAGGACGACACCCCGACGTCGAGGCTTTGATCCTACGTTGGGTGGACAGCGCAGGACCCGCGGGAATCCCACTGACGCTCAAGACAATTCAGGCGCAAGCGATGATGTTCGCATGTGCCTTGGGGAAGCCCGACACCTTCCTTGTATCTATTGGATGGGTTCGGCGCACCTTGCGGCGGCTGAACATCCGATGCCTCACACAGTCAGGGGAAGCGGCGGATCAGGACCTTGGCGCGGTTATGACAAGCAAAGTGCAGCTGCCAGCATTTTTAAGTCACGTCGGCGTCCGCCCACGCGACGTTCTCAACTTCGATGAAACAGCTCTGTTTGTCTCGGCACTACCTCGGAAGACGTGGGGACGTCGACGGTGGGGAGGGCGGAAGGTGGCAAAGGAGCGGCTCACCGTCGCGTTCCTGTGCAATGCGGACGGCTCGACCATATGGCGCCCTCTTATAATCTCCAAGTCTCGCCGCCCGCATGACTTTCGGCCCGATTACGACCCCAACCCCTACTGCTACTGGCGCCACAACGAGCGCGGATGGATGACGTCTAAGGTGAGCCCGCCGCAGTGTAAAAAAACTTTTCCCAGTTGCAGCTATGAAACATTGGCGTATGCACGATAGTGACACGTTTATGCCACATACAACGTGCACGCGTCTCACCGTGTGCTCTCTTCCCAACCTGCCCCACCCCCGTTAATGTTCTTCCTCTCCGCAGCTGTTCACGGCGTTCATGGAGCAGCTCAACGCTGCAATGTTTGCCGAAGGCCGCCACGTCTTCGTACTCGTGGACAACGCGTCGAGCCACAATCTTCTCTCCCCCGAAGTCATAACCGAAGATCTTTTCGGTTTCCGCACCCGCGCCCTCTCCAACCTCCGCCTCGTGTATCTCCCCCCCAACACCACATGCTTTACGCAGCCCCTAGACCAAGGCATCATCGCCATGGTTAAGGCGCGGTATCGCTCCAGGTGGCTCGAGGAGCTCACCGGACGGTGGGGCGCGAGGGGAGCCGCGAGCGCCCTGGTCCGATTCCGCCCGAGCATGCGGGACATCGTGGAGTGGGTGTGGGAGGCATGGTCCGGCGTCGGCGCGCACACCATTCAACGGTGCTGGTGGCGCACCGGTTGCCTCCCCGATGAGTGGGTGGCAGACCTTGAGCACGTGCCCGCCCCCCCGCTCCCATGCGACGACCTCCCCGATGACGAGCGCGACGAGGGGACGGACAGCCCGTTCAGCGACCTCGACGACGATGAGACCCTCGACGACGTCATCGAGGGCGTCGGCCTCCAAATCGCTGCCCTTGAGCTCGGGCCGAGCGCTATGTCGGCGGCCGACTTCGTTGCCATCGACGACGCGCAGCCCACGTGCGCCGAGGCGGACGATGATCCGCTTGCCGACGAGCCGTCGTCGCCGGCACGGCGCGACGCGTGGAACTCGCCGCCCCTTGACGCATTCCGCGCCTTCGGCGATGCTGGTGACCGTGCGCGCCGCCGCGCGGCGAGGGCGGCGTGCGAAATGTTGATTGGGTACGCGCGGGCCACGTCGGTTTCGCCGCGAGACCTCCTCGCATTGTTTGACATCCGTAACCCGGTGGTCGTCAACCGGCTTCAGCGTGCGTCTCCACTCCCTGACCTCAACGCACCCGCGGCTAGACCGCCCCGCTCCCCCCCTCGTGGCCGCATCCTACCTTGGTCGATTGCCGGGGGAGAGCGCCGACGGGAGCTGTACGCACAGGGCGTGGGGGCCTCCATGGACGGGCTCTTGGGCCCGGCGGAGTGGATGCGACGTCCATTCGGCAGTGAGTAGAGCGCGGCCACATGGGTTATTCGCGCTCTAACTTGGTTCATCCGGGCATGCGGTGTTTGGAAGAGCTTTTTCACATGGCTGTATGGTTGCCTCGGTGGTACAGGGTGGATGTGTCTCTCTCATGTTAGAGTTACAAGTGCTTGGGTGAGACATGGTGTGTCCCATGTCAGTGTGCAGCTGCCTTTTGGTTGTTGAGCTTTGTGAGGCTGAGGTGCGGCTGTTTGTCACTGTGTCGAGCCATTTCCATGCTGCAAATGTCATGTTCGTGAGCTGTTGGTTGACCTAATGAAACAGCACTTGGGGTGGCTTCTGTTCGACACAGTGCAAAACAGCGTAACCCTGGTTACATATGCAATCCAAACTCTGCCACCCAAACCTTCCCCTATTGCGACAAAAAAGTTACCAACGTGCTCACCCTGAATCCCTCGCTCCTAGCAGCGAAAGCGGGCGAAATACCAATTCGACAGAAGCCCCCGCGGCTCGAAAAAGTGGCGTTCCTCTCTCGGGCTCAGGCTGTACCAGTTCACAGAGGGGCTGAATTTTGCGTGGCAGTGTCCTCAGGGCCAGCTATTGACAGGAGGGTCAGACAAACTCGGCGATGTGGACCACGACAGATCACCAAGGAGAGGGGCCGATATCTAACGGCAGGCAACGACCGAAACGCTGAAGGCAAAAAGTGCAGCCCGAGGCTTGATGTCATACAGGTGCCAAAAGATTTCGTAATTTCGATGGGAGCTTTCCCCTCACCTGGTGCAGATAGCGTATGTTGCTGGTACAAGAGTGCCCAATCTTCTGCTCCCAGCAGCGACCTCTTCCCTCCAGCTCGCTTTTCCTTTCATACCTAATCACCCCAAGTGTTCTAAATTCTAATGCACAGAACTATGTTACAGTGCTAAGCGCAAACTTCCAGTTCAGGGAAGGAAATCCTATGAATCTTGGACCGGCCCCTACCCTGAATGGACGACAGGGATACGTCATTCAACCAGAAGCACCACCGCCATGCATGCAGGTCACAGGATATGATCACAACACAAGAGCCGTTTAAAACTGTTACACCTGACGTCCAATCAATTCTCATTCATTAGATGCGAAGTGTCTATTTACAGTTTCATTAGTCCGAACGTACGGGCAACGGCACAATCGACACACGCTCAAAAATCTGTAACAGTTACCACACCTGATACGGAGACCTCCAAACGTGCAGACGGGACGTTCTCATGCCCTTCACTGTTGCCCGAGGAACGCAAAACAAACAACAATGGACACCCGCTTTAGACTTGAAAATGCAAATGAGGTAACCAGACTACCCTGTACTAACCCAAATCGCTCGTGAAAGTAAGTGCTCGACTCTGGAGTACCCGCCCGAACAAAAACTAGGCTGAAAAGGACAACGTGTAGTTGTTACGTCGAATTTACTTCTTCGCCTTTGGCACTATTCCACCTCACAGCTTAGCCTCAGTTCAGTACCGTAGGAGGGCGGAGGTCAGAGAGCTTCCATCTCCGTACGTACTTCTATTTTCTCTCTGTATGGATTGTGCATGGTGCCTGAGCACAGTAGCCTTCCGTCATGAGTCGGTCCCAATCTATGACTGAGACCGTTGGACGGGCAACACAGGACACTCTCCATGGCACGGCGGCAGAACGCCCAGAGCGTTCAGCGAGTTTTCCAGTAGTAGGCCAGGCTATGCGGGATAATGCCAGCTTTAGAGGCGAACAGGCGCACCACGCGGCGGGGGGGGGTGCGCGAGATGGCGAGGCGGAGGCATTTTGGTGGCCTGCTAGGTGGATGATGCCCAAATGGCGATGGCACATGCAGCTGCTCTTAACCGCCGGCGCAGCACTCGTTTATCTGGGCATCGGTGCGATCGAGTTCGTCATTTGCAATCTGCGGCTGCAAGGCCAGCTCTCCACCGTGTGGCTGCCCACCGGCTTTGCCTATTTTACGAGTCTCGTGAGTCCGTTTTTAGTCACCGCGCTGTGGGCAACTTGATTATTGAGACATCAAATTCGCCCTGCCAGTGTCAGGCCAGTAATACCCTGGAAGAACAGTCTGAGCGCCGCTGTCTCCTCGCTTTCCTCCCTTCTCGTCACCCATTCGTACCTCCTGCCATCCTGACCATCTCGCCGCTTCCCCGTTCGTTCCCCTTACCACCCGACCAGTGTCTCGGTCCTCGCATCGCGGTGGGTCTATTTATCGGGAACCTGCTCTTTAATCTCTGGTTCGCCACGGCACAGCCCGACGCGCCCGCGTGGGGGTTAGTGACAGCGGGTGCGGTGCTGTCGATGACCAACGCGCTGCAAGCCGTCGTCGCCGCGCATTTCATCCGCCAGCCCGCCGCTGCCCTCGCCGCCGCTGCCGCTGCGCTTGTTCCGCGCGCGTGCACGGCCGCGCCCGCCACAGGCCGCGGGGAAGGCGGGGTGGCGACGGATGAGTGCGATTATGAGGGCAGCAGCGGACGGACAGAGGCCGTGCGCGCATGCTGCACTGGCAAGCGGGGGACGGCGGAGGTAGAGAGCGGGAGCTGGGGGGACGAAGAGAGAGGCGCATGGGGGGAAACGCGAGAGGGCGAGGGAGAGGAGGCGGCGCCGGAGCAGGGAGCGCGCATGTACCATGAGACGACGCCGCTGGATAGCGCGCAGGACGTGGTGCAGATGATGGTGGTGACGGCCATCGCGGCGCTGCTGGCCAACGGCCTGCAGGCCGTGGTGATGGGGCTGTGCCACCTGCTCGACGCCGCTGACTCCGCAAGGTGCGTGATGCTGCCATGCGCTGGGTAGGGGGGAGGGGACACGCAATCGAGGCGGGGATGGGCAAGAACGAGGCGAGGGCTTTCGGGGAAAAGGGGAGCGAAGAATAGAGCAGCTAGGAATAGAGGCGCGTGGTTTGAGTGCATGCGATGACGTGTTTCCACCCTGTGGTGCGTTGGCCTTGCGCGGCAGGACGTTCGTCATCTGGTGGCTCGCTGACTTCGCTGGCGTCGTCTGCTTCCTGCCGCTCCTCACCTACTCCCTCTGGTCCGCACGCCGCTGCCTCCTCCGCCCCATTCGCCGCTACGGCTGGCACCGAGGGTACGGTCCATGTCCACTGCCGCCAGGCACATTCATGCATCCCGCCCGCCCTGTACCCTCCCTCCCTCCCTCCCTCCCTCTCTCCCTCTATCGCCTCTGCCGCATCTCCTTCATTCGGCATTCCCTTGGTCAGCCCATCGTTTCCAGCGCACCTCTTGCGCGCTGCTCACGTGTTCGCCCCTGTGTGTGCTGTGCGGTGTTGCGTGCGCAGCGTGCGCGCCATAGCATCAGCTTGCGTGTGGCGGCGCTGGCAGGTGCTGCGAGTGGTGGAGGTGGCGCTGCTGGGGGGGCTGCTGGGCATTCTGCTGCTGCTGCTCTTCACGCCCGTCGTCGCCTCGGAGGAGTGGCTCGTCGCGCTGCCCTACCTCTTCTTCCCGCTCCTCATGTGGGCCGCTGTGCGCTTCAACCGCCTGTACGCCACCCCACTCGCCACCTCCTCTGCTCGTATCTCCTTCTCCATTACCACACACCTGCCTTCCGTGCAACTTCCTTTTCCTCTTTTTACCAGCCAGCCCAACCTCCCCCCCCCCCCCCCGACCTCCCCTCCCCCCCTTATCCTTTTTCCTGCCCGTGTGCGGTGAGCGGCGGCAGCTTCCTGGCGTGCGTGGTGTTCGTGGTGGCGGCGCTGACGAGCTTCGCGACGGCGAGGGGGTGGGGGCCCCTGCAGCGGGCGTCGGTGATGGCGTCGGAGCTGCAGGCGCAGGGGCTCGTGTGCGTGCTGTCCGTGGTGGGCGTCGTGCTGGGCGCCGTCGTGCGCGACACGCGCAGGCTTCGACGGCAGCTGAGGGCCATGAACGCCACGCTGGAGAAGCAAGTGCTGCACCGCACGCTGCAGCTGACACTCACCAACCAGGCACGTCAAGCCCACGCATGCACGCAGGCAGCACTGCCCCCCATTGCATGGCGTTCATTGCGGTGGTCGTCCATCCCATCTCGTGCCTTTTTTTTTTTTTTTTTTTTTTTTTGTGTGTTAATAATGATTTTTATCATGGCCAGGATCCTATAGAATCTGCGATCAACGCTAGCTGCCTAGCAAAATGCTAGTAGGAAGGAAAACACTTCCCACCCAAGCCCTGTAATACTTGGAGAGCGGCAGCTGCTAAGGAGGACGGAACGCATCACCGTAAGTCTTCGTGCAGGCTAGGGACACCAGTGGAGGAGAAGGTTAGGAATCTCTTAACACGTGCCAGCTTAACTCTGGCAAGGAAAATCCGCTCTTTCTTCTTCGAGCGACGCGTTCCGCGGTAGAAGAAGTTTTTAGATGTCGATAAGAACAGGGCGAGGATAAGATGTAGGACCGCCATCGCTGGAAGAGAAGGACGGTCGTGAACCTCGTCACAGCGAGCGTTCCAGAGACCTTTAGCAGCCGCCCCGACAAGCAGGCTCCAAGGGGCGTGTCGTCCGTTGCGTTGTAGGAGTGGGAACTGACAGCACTCCGCTGGAATAGTGATGCCGAGGTGCAGTCGAGCCGTACGTTGTAGCGCGGAAAGAAGAGCCGGTGCCGCACCATACTCAAAGAAGACATGAGGCAGCCGTTCGATAGGCGCGGCAGGGCAGCGGGGGCAGTGTGCACCGGACCCAGAGTAGCGAAAACGGGAGCCAGACAGGAGTGCTCTAGCGAAGAAACGAAACAGCAGGTCGCGGTGACGGCTGGACTGCTTGCGGAGGAACGGATGCAGAAGCATCGAGAGTGAGTCCAGAACGAACGGCAGATCTTCATTCCACGCCTTGAGGTGAGTAGTGCGAGCAGGGACGTAGAGAGCGTTGCGAATGGCGGCCGGAGACGGAAAGCCGTTACGAGTTAGCTCAATACGAGCTGCGAGTGCGGCACCCGAACACAGCATGCCATAAAACCAGCCGTCGGCCACTCGGTTGTCCCTGGACAGCGAGAAGCGCCGAAAGATAGCAACGCCGTCGGACAAAAAACGCTCGACTTGTAGGACTGACTGCAGCGGCTGCTGACGACAGGAGCTCTCAAATGCCCAGGCGCCACCTTCCAGGTAGGCAGGTCCAGGCCCAAAATGGCGAAGCACGGGCCACCAGGTAGGGGGAATCGCACGACAGAGCTGCTCATAGATGGGAAACCCACAGGGAAAGGTGCTGGGCGGAAAGCGAGCATGGAATTCAGCTTTAGTGAGCTCACGTGCACCGCCAGGTAGAGGCACCAATAGGTGCCCAAGCCGTAAACCATGAAGCTGAAGAAACTTTTCGTTCTTCAACCCCCCGAAGGGTTTACCATTCGACTTGATGATCCATCTGTTGAAAACCACAGGCTCGGCAAGCAGGCACCAGGCTACCAGCGGGGGAGGGTGGATAGAGGGCGAGAGTGACGAGAAATCAGTAAGTTCAGCACGGGCATGGGGGGTAATGGACGGGTCCAGATAGTCAAGGATATCTGGATGGGGTAGGAAGCAGTGGAGCCCAAACGGGAGTGGAGAGCATGCCCGTGCCACTTGTTCTGCAGGCGAGGGGCGGAACCGTCATCCCATCTCGTGCCAAGCATCATGCTTGCTCCTGTACTCTCCACCCGCTCATCTCCCCCTTGCCTCGCGGCAGGAACTGGTGGTGTCGAAGAAAGCAGCAGAGGCGGCCAACCAAGCAAAGACGGAGTTCCTTGCCAACATGAGCCATGAGATACGGTGAGCCATGAGGTATGGTGAGGCATGAGATACAGTGAGCCATGAGATATGGTGAGCCATGAGGTATGGTGAGGCATGAGGTATGGTGAGGCATGAGGTATGGTGAGGCATGAGGTATGGTGAGGCATGAGGTACGGACACTAGCGTCACCTCTCATAATGGCGTTTCTGTATTTGACTGCACATCTGCCGCCCTGCCATCCGCTGCCTGCCTCCCCTCTCCTCGCCAGCGCTTCACGCCGTTCCCCCCGCCCTTCCGTTCCCACTCCCCCCTACCTTCTCGAGTGATGAAGAATGTCCACGTCCTTGTGGTCCTCCCCCCCTCCCCCCTGCGCGCAGCACGCCCATCCACGGCATCATGGGCATGACGCGGGTGGCGGGCGACACGCTCTCCTCGCTGCGCGCGCTGCTCCTGCCGCCCGCCTGCTCTGCTCGAGGGGAGGCTCGGGGGGATGGCAAAGGCGGCAAGGGGGGGCAAGCAGGCATCAGGGAAGGAGCAGTGTGGAGCGGGGGGCGGATGGCAGGGGCAGGGGCGGAAGTGGAGGAGGCGCGGCGCCTGGTGGGCGAGGTGGGCGATCAGCTGGAGACGGTGTTTGAGTCGGCGAGCGCGCTGCTGCACGTGGTGAACGCTGTGCTGGACGTGGCGACGATCGAGGCGGGCCGCCTGCTCCTGCAGCGCGTTCCCTTCCGCCCGCGCGAGGCCGTGCTCTCCACCCTCAAGGCGCTACAGGTGCCACTCACGTGCTGCCGGGGGAGGGAGGGGGGCGGAGGGTTGGATATTGCACTGGGTTTCCATGGGCATGGCATTGCATGGCGATGCATAGTGCAGTATGACGTGTGTGCCATGGCCATCGGGGTTGCTTACCTTACCCCACCATCGTGCCTCCATCCACCGTGTTCTCTGCCCCGTCCCCCCTCTGCCCGCGCGCCCCTCCCTCTCGCCACTCTCTCTTTGACTGCACATCAGTTGCAAGCAGCGCGTGACAGCCCAGCGCTCACAAACGCCTGCCATGCATGCATGTGCCATGCCCCCCCCCCGTGTTGTGTGGTGGCAGGAGCGGGCGGCGCAGAAGCGAGTGGCCCTGGCGTGGGACATAGCGGCGGAGGTGCCTGAGACGCTGGTGGGCGACCCCGTGCGCCTGCAGCAGTGCATCAACAACCTCGGTGAGCGCCGCCCCGCTCGCTTGCTTCACTGCATCAACTCGTCTCATCGTGGCGCGCTGTGCTGTGCTGTGCTGTGGACATAGGGGTTACGAGTAGTGCCTTGTGATTGACCCTCTGTGCATCAGCTGCTTGTGCGCTCTGTCTGTTTCTGTACCCCCATGCGCGCACTGCAAGCACGGAGGCAGTATGGCCTCATGGAGCGTGCGTCTGTCCTTCTCATGCCCCTGGGGCGCCATCTCACTTCTCTCTGCTCACCGCCTCCCTGCTCCTTGTGTGGCTGTGCATGGTGCCATGGCGTGGCATTGCATGTCGTGGCATGGTATGGTGGCATGGCGTGGTGGGTGGCGGCAGTGGGCAACGCCATCAAGTTCACGCACAAGGGCTTCATCGAGGTCACCGTGCAGCTCTGCGCCTCCCACCCCGCGCCCCACACACCCCACCAGAAGCACGTACAGGGCGAGCACGGTGCGGCAGCAGGGGCAGGAAGAGCCGGGGCAGCAGCAAGCGGGGAGGGTGTGGAAAGTGATGGTGTTGAGGGCAGTGTGAGAGGCGGAAGGAAGGAGGATGGCAATGAGGGAGGGAGGACCCATAAAGGGGCAGAGGATCTAGAGGCAGGTAACTTATTCCTGGCAGAGAGGCAGCACGGGATGTGCGAGGGTGGGAGGGAGAGCAGCCTACAGCTTGCATCAGCTGCCCCATCGGCCGCTGACTCAGATGGGGGTTCCGCTGGCAATGCAGCAGCAGCAGCAGTGGGCGACTGGGACCCATGCGGCAGAGCACCAGGCGTGCTCTATGCGAGGCACACAGGCGCAGAGCAAGGAGAGGTGCAGGGCGCGCAGCAGCAAGAGCAGGCACAGTGGCAGCGCCTCACTCCCACACACGCACACTTGCCTGCCGCTCCCCCACACCCTCACTTCGCCGGGGGTAGGCCAGCATGGCAGCAGGCAGCAGCGGCGCGCATGGTGCCATCACCGCTGCTGCGGTCGTCCAGCGACCCGCACGCCATTGCGCGCTACCTGCGCGCCATGAGGCAGCGCCTCGTAGACGCCAACCGCCCCGACGGCACCGCTGCCAACGCCATGCCCGCTGCCTCCACCCCCCCTCCTCTCGCCAGCAGCCGTGCTGATGCTGCCTACGCAGCAGGTGGCGCCTCCCCTGGTTACAGCCTGTCTCGGCGGTTGCTGGTAGCAGGCAAGCGAATTGGGGGGGCTTCGGGGGGCGAGTGGGCGGGGCTGGGAGATGTGCTTGCAGGGAGTGGCGGGCAGGCAGGAAATGGTGGTGCCGTGGATAGGGGGGGGGATTGGGTGGTTGACGTTGTGGATGGTGGTGGGGGCCGGAGAGACGAGAGGCCATGGGGGCACAATGCGTGCTTCCAGTACACGGGTGAGGCGGCGCGCGTCTCCTCGCCTTACTCTGCTGCCAGCAACACCCCCTCCCTTGCTGCGGCGGCTGTGTGGCACGGCCACGCGCACCACCAGCACAGCAACACGCACTCGGGCATTCTCTTCCACTCGCAGCCGCTGCTGCCCGCCGCTGCGCGCCCGCCCTGCGCTGCTGCTCCCCCTGCGGCAGCAAGCTCAGGTGCCCCTGGTGGCGAGGCCAGGCGCACGGCAGTGCGGTTGAGGCAGGCTGGGCGGTGCATGTCTGCTGATGGCGGCGATGCCATTGCTGAGGCTGCCATCGATGCTGCTGCTGCCGCAATTGCTGCTGATACTCCTGCTGCTGGAGAAGGAAGAGCGTGGGGTGAAGGGGAGGGGTTGCACGGCATTGAAGCGAGTGCACGAGTAGCGGAGGGCGTGGAGAGGGTTAGAGCCAGGGGGTGGTCAGCGGAATGGGGCAGGTTGGTGAGGGGGAGGGGGGCAGGAGCAGAGGGGAGGCGAGGGGAGGAATGGGAGCCGTTGACGAGGGGGTGTGGGGAAAGGAGCGAGGTGCGGGAGAGTGATGTGGGTGGGGCTGTGGAGTGGGGTTTAAATACAGGTATGAAGGGCGGGTGGGGAAGCCGTGATGTTGGAGAGGCAGTGCGGGGGAGCGCTCTAACTGGAGCTGCATCAGCAGCAGCGCCAGTGACGCCAGCAGCAGCATCACTGGCATCTGCGTGCCACGCGGCGTCCAGCAGTGAGCCGCATTTGCTGCGCCTCTCCTCGTGCCACCCCCTGCCCGCCTCTGTGCGTGCCTCCACCTCTCCCAGCACTGCTTCTGCTGCACCCCCTGGCCCAACGGGCAGCGCATGGGCGGGCCGCACCACAGGGCGTGGTGGGGACGAGGAGGAGGCGGGAGAGGCAGTGATGCTGCGCCGGGCGTCCACGGGCAGCAAGATGCGGCGCCGCCTGGCAGGCGCGCATGGGTATGGGTGGGGGCGCGTGCAGCCGTGGGGCGAGGGCGGGGTGGGAGGCCAGGCGGGGCAGTGGGAGGAGATGCTGCGGGGGCGCGGGCGCGCAGAGGTGCTGGCGCTGGCGCGCCACATGTGCAGCAGGGCGGGCAGGGGCCCCATGGAGTTCATTGGGGGGGTCAGCGCCGTAGGCAGGGAGGGCAGTGGCAGCGGCGCAGGGCTGGATGACAGGGATGCAGGGTCCGGTGTTGAGGGGGGTGGACTACCGGACAGTGGCGTGTGGCCATCGCCTGGCAGGGGGGGGGTGGGCGGGCAGGGCACAGAGGGAGTGGAGGAAGTGATGAAGTGGGCGAGGATTGGAAGTGCTGACGGTGGCAGGTGCTACCATGGTGCTGGCAGCTTGCATAGCGGCGCAGCAGCAGCATGTGCACCCCACCACATGGACCTCTCACCATCTTTTGCACACCACCCGTTCACCCCACCCCCCTCTGCCCCACAGCCTTTTGCAGCTGCAACTTTAGACTCTGTCCCGCCATCCCCTGATCTCGGTGCTGCTATCCTTGCTTCAGCTGCACCCATGCCACCCGCCACCCTAGTGCAATGCTCCGCACCGCTGCTGACCACTCCGGCCCTGCCATGTGACCCCTGGGCCCATCAAGGGTGCACTGCTTCTGCTGGCAGCGCCCTGCCGTCCACTCCAGACATGTGCGGCGATGACCACGGAATGCCATGGCCCCACTCACGTGACGTGGAGGAGCCAAGTGAAGGAGACAGCCAAGATGGAGAGAAGGAGGAGGAGGAGGAGGAGGAGGAGGAGGAGGAGGAGGAGGAGGAGGAGGAGGGGGAGGGGGGGAGGCGGAGGAGGAGGAGGGGGACGGGGACGGGGAGGGAGAGGGGAAGGGGGAGGGGGAGGGGAAGGGGGAGGGGGAGGGGGAAGAGGATGAGGAGGAGGAGGAAGAGGAGGAAGATGAAGAGGAGGGGGAGGCGGTGTGGTTGCAGGTGTCGGTGCGGGACACGGGCATTGGGATAGAGCGTGCGGTGCAGGGGGAGATATTCAAGGCGTTTGTGCAGGCGGACACGTCCACCACGCGCATCTACGGCGGCACGGGGCTGGGCCTCAGCATCGTGCACAAGTAACCATGCACGCATGCACGCACATGCATCTCTGTGCTTCCGAACCTTCGCTGCTCTACGATCAAGTATGATGTTCTACCATGCCCGTCCTTCAAGGTCCCATATCCCCAATCACCTCACACCACCGCAACCTGCCCCCCTCCTTTCGTCCGCATTCCCCCTCTGCCCCCTCCCGTGCACCGTGCTGCAGTCTGGTGTCGCTGATGGGCGGGCAGCTGCGAGTGTGCAGCCGGCTGGGTGCGGGCTCCACATTCACCTTCACCGCTCGCTTCCGCTCCGTGCCCTCCGTGCACCCCTCTGCCGCCCCCCACGGCACTCACTGCCTCCAGCCTTCCTCACTTGCATGCCCACACACCACTCTTTCCCCCTGCACCACTGCTCCATTGATCGGCTTCTCTCCGTCCCCTCCGCTCTCCTCGTCTCCCCCCCACACCTCGCATCTCCCTTCCACCTCGTCCATCACGCCTAAGCCCTCTTTCTCACCCAGTCCCGCTGCTGCTGCTGCTGCTGCTGCTGTTGCCGCAGACCAATCATGCACAACTTTTCTCTCCACGCCTCACTGTGCCCGCACCTCACACCCAGCCACCACCACCACCTTCTCTCGCCCCACTGCCGCCCCCCTCACTCTCTCTGCCTCGCCTGCTGCACCCCATGCAGAGCCCCTGCCATCTCTCTCCACTACGCACTCCTGTGACCCCAATGGCACTGCCACCATGCACCCACACCCACACTCGCTGCCGCAGGCCGTGCAACCAGCAGCAGTGCAGGCAGCAGCATATTCAGCAGCATTGGTTGTGCAGGGCTCCGTATCAGCAGCAGCACTGGGTGCGCGTGCACCGGCACCGCTTGTGCGTGAACCAGGACACAGCAAGCCCCACACGCCGCCCCCTGGATGCACCCCGGGCTCTGCTGCCCTGTCCCCTGCACCTGCCGCATCCCCCTCCTCTGCCTGCGCTGCGCCCCTTCCAGGGTCCCAGCAGCGGGCAGGTGGAGGCGCAAGAAGCAGCAAGGACAGCAGTGCGGGGGGTGGCCAGGTGCTGCTGAGGAAGCCAGTGGAGGGGAGGAGTGAGGAGACAGCCGGCGATGCAGGGGCGCAAGGCAGAGGAGGGAGAGCAGGGACGGGTGGAGGCAGGGCGGCGGAGGGGAGTGGCGGCGTGGAGGTGCTGTCGGGGATGCGGATACTGCTGGCGGAGGACAACGTGGTCAACCAGAAGGTGGCGCTGCACCTGCTCAGGCGGGCAGGGGCCGTGGTCACCGTGGTGGGCGATGGCCGGGCTGCGGTGGACGCCGTGACTGCGTGTCATGACGCATTTGATGTGGTGCTCATGGATATTCAGGTGTGCCTCTCACTCCACTTGCGCTCTTATCTTCCTCTCTCTTCCGCCTCTCTTCTCCCTTGCTTCTCTCACTCTCTCCTCTTTGTATCCCCATCTTTCTCCCCGACTGGCTCCTTGGTCCATCCGTCCTTGTGATTTGCCTCACACACGCCTGTGTGTCCCGCGCCTCTTATTCGACTGTTGCCATCGGAACTTCATCTCCCCCATCATTTTTTAACCGCCACCCCCCTCTACCACATGCCTCACGCCATCTGACCCTGTGGCAACCCCCTTGCAGATGCCTGTCATGGATGGCATGGAGGCCACTCGCACCATCCGACAGTGGGAGCAACAGCCCCTGGCGTTGCCAGACACCGCACCTAATCCACCTTGCCAGGTTCCACAGCTTCGCCAGCCGCAGAACAAGCGCCACATGGTGATCGTTGGTCTGACAGCGCATGCCATGCAGGGCTACAAGGAGAAGTGCTTCATTGCTGGCATGGATGGATACGATACAAAACCATTCCAATTACACACACTTGCTTGCACAATACAAAGTGCCATAGCGTCCGTAAGACAATTGGAGTGATTGAAAGTGCAAATAGTGGGAGCGTCAGTCAGGCTGTTCTGGGAAGGAGATTCATGTGGACGCATTGGCGTGGCCTTGCATTGATGTATGCTAGTTGCGCATGCCATCTTGGCAAGTGCTGGGAGTAGTAGTGAAGTGAATAATATTATTGTGTGCCCTCACACTTTCCATATTGTTATCTATCATGTTTTTAGCACCCACTAAATGCGGGTGTCCATCCATCCCTTGTGGATGGATGTGTGCATGCTGAAGCGAAATGAGTACCGGTAGGTGTACTGTGTTGTGATAAATGACGTTTCACATTCCTGCAAGTTCCGTTTTCAGTGTAGTTAGCAGTATCGAGTTTCTCAGTAAGGAAACAGGTCCGAGTGATGACGTCAGCATACCGCTTCAGTTACGCGATTAGGCGTAACGAACCGTTTCAGTCACGCGAACAGTCGCGACCCTATAGAATGACGAATAGGTCGCATAGCGCGATAGTGACGAACAGGTACATTAGCGAATAGGTACTTTCCCTAGAGATATAAATCCTTGTAATGCCTTTCTATCATCAACCTTGACTTTACACAGAATTATGTGCTCAGGTTATTCAACCTTCGACTACCCACAAGTTCATGTGCTCAGGTTCACTCTGATAAGACTTCCGCTGTCTTACTAGTCTACCATTCCAGCAAAGATCCTTGGTTAAGTACTCGTGTTAGCAGATTTTACACTTAGTCTACTGCAACACCAGACGATTTACTTCATGGTATGAAAGCTATCTGGAATTAAGACTACCGTCAACTATGACTGGTCCAACACCAGCACCATCCGCTGGATCAGTTACTGGGACTACTGGAGCACATTCCTCCACTACCGCCGCTGGTCTCTCAGCTTCTGGGCATTTTCCACCAGCCTACGCTAACATCGGTATGCAGAATCCGCCTTCTGTGAATACTCCAGGTGCTCCATCAACTGCACCTGCAACGCAACAGCAGCAATCACAGACAACAGCTCAGCAACAAGCATCAGTTCAGCCACCAGTTTCAACACAATCGATTTCGTCTGCATTCAGTGGAATGAGCCTTGATGGCTCAAGTTACTTGCGTGGAGCTACAGCTCCAAGTACTGGTTCGTTCGCTTTCTCACCTTTCGTACAGCAGCCGCAGTCGCAGCAGTTTCAGCATCCTTTTTATATCTTCGGACGTTCTCCTGCTCAGCAACCACAGCAAGTACAGCAACAGCAGTATCAGCAACAACAGCAACAGCAACAGCAACAGCAGCAACAACAGCAACAGCCAGGCATCGTTTTTCAACCTCCAAACTTACTTAACAATACTCAAATCAAGACAACTGTACCTTTCAATGGTGTTGATTTCTACTCCTGGAGCTTCGAGTTCGAGCTTCTGGCGCAGTCCGCTGGATTATGGCCGTTTTTCACTGGCGAGTTTACATACCCTGTCGTGGGAACACAACTGGAGCAGCAGAGTTTTTTACATGCCTCTCTCGGGGCATATACAGTTCTTGTACGGAACTTGTCGCCGAAGGAGCAGCTCGGCGTTCGATCTTTTCACTCAAGTTTCACACCAGCCGAAACTGCATGGAGACACTTAAAAGGGGTGTATATGGCGCGGGATACGATAACAGTGAGTAAAATCCTTTCGCAGCTGACAAATGTGCAGATGATGACAAACGAAAACGTCATGGACTACGTCAATCGCGTCCGTACACTACGCGATCAACTTGAAAAGAGCGGAGGATACTTCCCTCGTGAGATGTATCTCACGGTCCTTCTGGCTGGCCTTGGACCCGAATGGCGACAGACGCGCGCCTTCCTGCGTATGAATCAGAATCTCTCAGAAGCTGAAATTCCGTCGTATCTTCAAGCGGAGCAGCAAGATCTTGACCTGCAGTCACAACGCAACAAACAGGGAGATATACAACTCAGTTTCTATTCAACACCAACTCGACGTCCTCGAGACTTCTGTCAAATTTGCAACAAGGGAGGACATTCTACCGACCGATGCTACTTTAACAAGCGGTATTTACCTCCTGAAGAAACGCAGAGGTCGCAATCATTACAGCACCGACGACAGCCTTCGAAGCAGTTTTTGCAGCAACCTATGCCTCCAAAATCAGCATCTGCAATATCAACACCACCAACGACACTCAGTTCTGCCCCTCCAAGCAACTCATCAAAGGCGACAGCAAATACTTCAAACTCTGCCACTAATACGGTAACTTCAAATTTTCGTTTACCTACTTCATCCACTCACATGGTCAATTGCAGTACAGATACCGATACTTGGTACTTGGATAGTTGTTGTGGCCATCATATGGTCTCTTCAACCAATCCTTTCATCTACAACCGTCGTCGACTTCGTCAACCCTGCCCAATCACACTCGCCAACGGTCAAACAATTTCAGCAGAAAATATCGGCAGTCTACTTTTGACATCAATTGATACGGGCAAGTCTTTATGCCTTACCAGCGTTTTACTCGTCGACAATCTTGGCTTCAATTTAGTGTCAACTCTTCAACTCTTGAAGAAGAAAATCCGCACGGTCGGAAACTGCACGACACAGGAGCAAGAATTAATACATGACGTGGACAACACGTATATCGGAAGAGCAGCAACAAAGAATGGCGTATTCGTCTTACGCTTCAAGGCAGCAAAACCTTTTGAAGATGCCGCTTCTCTTCAAGCTCCTTCAATCATCGCAGCAGCCGCTTTGGTAACTGTTCCACCGATTGAACTCAGCAGCAGCGAAGAAGAAACTCCGAGTAGCAGCACCGCCAACATCCCTGCCGACACACCTGCTGTTAATATCAAAGAAGATATTTGTCAAGAACACGAGGAAATTCTGCAACTTGCACCTGAATTATTCTTCGACGCTACAACTACTCTCGACAAGACTTCTGCCAATTCTTCAACAACCGGTTTCGACAAGCCTTCAGAAACATCTTCAAGTACCACTCCATCGGAGAAAGGTTATGCACTCTCAAGGTTTTTCCTACCTTCATATTTCATGCTCTTGATTCTTGCTTGGCTGGCTCTAGCAGCAAGCGAGCTCAGTACCCCGCTGCAGACTCTCCTATCCTACAGAGAAGTCAATAATCACACTACGAGTTCCAACGACTACGAGCAAGGCTTGGGCATCAACTGCTACCCAACCCCTCGTCATCGCGTTCAAGAAAGCAACGAAGCAGAAGGGTTGAACAGTGCCCTACACGAGCTACGTGAGCAGCTGCGTGCACTGCTGACTCAACAAATTTCTCTGCCCGAAACTGCACCATCAGATCTGCCCGTCACTTCTCGGTTCTTTTTCAAACCCCAGAATGATGTCGAGGCTCCTCTACACCACGTCCAACACTCTTGTGGTTTTGCATTCGTCCCCTTCGGCCTTGCCACGTTCGTTGGCGCAACCCCAATCACTTACAACGTGACTCTTTTTTTTTTTTTTTTCTCTGCCGAAGTGAGGGGGGGAAGAAGGATCTACACGCACTTCGTCAAAGCCAAAATTCGTCAATGGAATGACCGCCGACAACTTACAGCACATCAAGTTTACACGTCACAAGATTCTAAATTGCAGATTTCATTCGCTGGACTCCAACCACGACGTGACTACATCGAACTTCCAGGAATGAAGGGGAGTGTTGTGATAAATGACGTTTCACATTCCTGCAAGTTCCGTTTTCAGTGTAGTTAGCAGTATCGAGTTTCTCAGTAAGGAAACAGGTCCGAGTGATGACGTCAGCATACCGCTTCAGTTACGCGATTAGGCGTAACGAACCGTTTCAGTCACGCGAACAGTCGCGACCCTATAGAATGACGAATAGGTCGCATAGCGCGATAGTGACGAACAGGTACATTAGCGAATAGGTACTTTCCCTAGAGATATAAATCCTTGTAATGCCTTTCTATCATCAACCTTGACTTTACACAGAATTATGTGCTCAGGTTATTCAACCTTCGACTACCCACAAGTTCATGTGCTCAGGTTCACTCTGATAAGACTTCCGCTGTCTTACTAGTCTACCATTCCAGCAAAGATCCTTGGTTAAGTACTCGTGTTAGCAGATTTTACACTTAGTCTACTGCAACACCAGACGATTTACTTCATACTGCACGCGGAGCAAAGTGAGGGGTTTTGCCTCGCCACAGTTCGCGCACGGTATCGGTGAATTCGTATAAAACTGACACTGTTCTGGAAGGAATGAGTTTTGGACTGTAGAACAGAGGAACCACCATTACAACAGTATACACATGATCTCGCTTACAGACATCCGTGCTTGTCGCACAATCACGGTTAAGGACCCATTGCCGTATACACCATGCTCTTATCCCCTAGTGTATGTGCACAATCGCTGTTCAGCATGAAACGACCCACAAGAGTCTACTGTACAAGATAGCGCACAGATTACGCGGCGACCAATAGGATTTGTCCAGAAGATTACGTTAGCGAAAAACAACAGCCTAGCGAAATCACTAGAAGGCTCACCGTCAGCCAACGAGCTGACAACACGCCACGTAGACACGGAAGTTTCTAGCATGAACTGATTCCTTTGTTCGAATGAATGAACCTAAGAACACGTCAGCGTTCGCCAGCCCTGTTCACAGGCGTGCTCCACGAACTTCAAATGCGTGGGTTTGAGCCCTGTCTATCCGAATGACCTCCATTCACACACTGTAACCCCATCCATCTCCGCTTTCGCCTAAGTGACAACATGTTTGCCCCTCGCTCCCGTCGCCTGCCTCGCCTGCACAGAAGGGCCCAGATTTCGCTCGACATGAAGGGAGAAATCTGTCGGCAGGCGGAAACCCACCAATCTTGGCGCCAGGAGGATCTCGCCCGTTGGTGTTTCACGAGGTTTGGGATTGTTCCTGACCGCAGCACTGTGGGGAGGATTGTTCGCCAGGCGGACAAGTGGAAAGCCGCTGCTGCAGCACAAAATGCCATCCGCCTTCGTCAGGGTCATTTCCCTAACCTGGAGAGAGCACTGAAGGCATTGGTGCAAGGAGCCGAAGACGCTGGCATGCCTCTCACTCTGTCGATTCTTCGACAGAAGGCTTTGGAGTTGCGCCCTGAGTGTGGCGTCCCAGACACTTTCGAAGGCTCGATCAGCTGGTGTCACCGCGCAATGGATCGCATGGGATTCTGTAACCTCGCACGCAAGGGTGAGGCGTTCGACACAGACAAGACAGCTGTAGAGCTGTGTAGGCAGCGCATGCCGGAGCTCATTGAGCATATCGGCGTCAGTCCGCGTGATCTTTACAATTGAGATGAGACTGCTCTCTTCCCGGGTCAGCAGCCTCGTCGTTCCTGGTCGGATGGTTCGCCCGTCGGTCGCAAGGCTGCAAAGGACCGCATCACGGTGGCGTTCTATGCAACGCAGACGGATCCAGCATGTATCGTCCTCTCGTCGTCTTTAAAGTGCGACGGCCGACTGACTTTAACGCGAACAGCTTCGATCCCGAGCCGTACGTCTACTGGCGCCAAAATCCCAAGGGTTGGATGACTTTCGAAGTGAGTGGCCATTCGTTTTGCATGTACGTACGTTTGTGAGTCTACCTTGCGCGCTCTCCGAAATGATACTTTCCCTAACTTTCATATGTGGTTCAATTGTTCTCTCCTCCCCCCTTCCCCCCGCCCCCCACCTACAGATCTTCACCTCTTTCTTCGAGTCAGTCAACGCCTGCATGTTCGCCGAACAGAGGCAGATCGTTATCTTGGTGGACAACGCCTCATCTCACAACCTACTTTCTCCCACCGCCACCACTGAGGTTGTCTGTGGCTTCCACTCGCGGAAGCTCAGCAATGTCCGAATCGTCTATCTTCCCCCCAACACCACTGCATACTGTCAGCCGTTGGACCAGGGCATTATCGCGACTGTCAAGCGGCGGTTCCGATCCAAGTGGCTACAGGAGCTGTGGAAGCTGTGGGACTCCCGGGTGTCACCAGCGTCGCAGGCGACGAAGAAGCCAAAGACATGGCAAACGGTGCAATGGCTCTCCGATGCATGGGGCAGTGTTGAGCAAGACACCGTGCAGCGGTGCTGGCACCACGCCAAGATATTGCCCCGCAGCTGGAGTCGGATCCTCCCGCACCTCATATACGAGAGCTCTGACCCAAGCGACCAGACAGAAGAATTGTGGGTGGTGGGATCACAGATTGACCAGTTCGCGTTCGGTGCCGACGCCCTCTCCGCCGAGGACTTCACTCGCATCGACGAGACACACCCGACTTGCGAGCCCAAGGGCGTCGATCCTCTCTCCACCGAACCCCCTCTAGTGCGCCAGACGGGAGGAGAGCCTCCCTTCTTCATCGAGCTGTCTGAGCGCGCGAGGGCAATGCGGCGGGTTCGGCGCCTAGTGACTGATCTGCTCATCGCTTATGCGAGGGCGACGCGGATCCGTCCGCGCTACCTCAAGGAGCTGTTCGACATCCGAAATGCTGATTTGATTGAACGCCTCAAGAGGGCGAGCCCGAAGCCGCGCAAGACGTTCAACATCGACCTGAACTACGCTCCATCTCCTCGCACTTCAGCCAGTTGCAGCGACGATCGAGACACTCAGGACACCGCCATCAGCCGTGAACGACTTCTGCAAGCGACGGCTGTGATGGACGGCTTTGATGGCGCGGCGGAGATCATGAGGACCTTTTAAACCCACCCTGTGTACCTCTCCATATCTCCCCTGCATCCAATGTCACCTTGTTAACACTTTCCCCTCTGTCGTGTGCGAGCCATGTCCTTGTTGTAGTGGTGTGCGTTTCCTCGTGTGCCTCATTGTTTGCGTGGGCGTGGGTTTGTGTGCCTATCTGGACTGTGATTGTTTTTGCGTGTGTGAAGGTGTGTGTGCTTCTGTGTGCTGTGATTCTTTGCAATCTCGCCCGTTGGTGTGTGCGTGTGCGTCTGTGAAGTGGTGTGCGGATATGTGTGCCTCTTTGGTTTTTGTTTCTTCATGAGTTTGTGATTCTCAGCTGCGCGACAGATGCTAATACAGGAGAGTACGACCATATGGACAGTGAACGTCATAAGCAACTTGGGAAGGCTGAAAATGTGGCCTTGGGCAGGAGTTGGAACATGTGGTTTCATCTCTGGAAATACGTGGATCTGTTGTAATCTAAGTGTTGTAATTCTGCAGGTGTTGTCTCATAAACGTAGTGCAATGCTGTTGTTGTTGTAACATGAAGCGTTTCTTGCGAGTCAGAAGGCCCTGTGCGTCGGTTACCAACACGGACGCACATACGCCGTTCGCATTTAATGACTACAGTAAGGCTACTCCCACCCCCGAAGTGTACAAGCCCTTTTTGCCCAGTGTTTTGGCCGGAGGATACATGCACGCACTGCGCAAAAAAAATGCGTGCCTGTATCGTGGAACAGGTGTACTGTACAGAATATTTATGCAGCGTCTAGAAATGCGCCTAAAGAGAATGTGTCCCAGAAGTACATTTTCGCTCAATACCATACCCCACCACTTCATAATGATATTGGATCCTTCTGACCCAAAAAGCGCCTCACCCAACCGCAGTCAGGGACCATTCTACACCTCGGGTATCAGTCGAGGCTGACCCGCGGTCGAAGGAACCGCGGGGCTTAGAGGCCCAACCTTGGGTCTAACAGCTCTGGTGTGTTTCCAGTCAAACAGCCGTCAAGAGTCGTCAAGACAGCAGGCAATTTTTTTCCACCTTGGGTGTTCCCGTATAACACTATTTTCATACACGAGCTCCATAATCTACCCTCAAACGCATGCTTGGGACCCAGGGTATTATGGAGCTCGTGTGTGACATGAGTGTCATACGGGAACACCTGAGGTGCAAAAAAATTGCCTCGGGTCTTACGACTCCTGACGGCTGCTTGACTGGAAACACGTCAGGGCTGCTAGACCCAAGGTTGAGCCTCTAAACCCCGCGGCTCCTTCGACCGCGGGTCAGCCTCGGGTCAGACCCAAGGTGCAGAATTTACTCACATTCTCTTTTATAGATTGGGAGTCTGGTTGGGACAGCCCGTGAAATTATGAAACGAGCCAATTTCAGGGCGCAGGTTTGCGCTCTCGGGATTCGGGACAAGCCTCGAAGCAGGAATTCGGGGCGTTAGTTCTACGGGCGAGATCACCCAAGCTAGCACTGCGGGCCATCCAGTCCATATACACATGTTTTCATCTATTGTCTCACCCGGAACAACCTAAATTTGAATCCCACCAACTACGAGGTTCTTAGCATGACTCGCGTTGACACTGAACCTGATTGGCTGTAGTGTGAATGGGATAGCGGGAATCCGAGCTGCAAAGTCGCACTGGCAAGTTAACTCGTGCACGAGCAAGACTTCGAAATGAGGTGACAGTGCTAACTGTGGGTTTCCCCCTTCAATGACTCGTTTGCCCGGGTTTGACATTTCCCTGTTTACAGGTTTAGGCCGTGTGCAAAAAATGTAAAACCAAATTGAAAAACAAGTGTATTTGATGCCCTGAAAATCTGTCTTGAGACTGCCCCGAGCGCGGAACACGCCTTCAGTTTCTCGTCGCAGCTCAGGACATGGACACGTCATTCTTTAAAATAAAGACAAACCAATCAGAAAACTACACGACGACTAGAGCCATCATTTGTCTCGGCAACCAGACGAGGATGCACTCCCCGCCGCTCGTTTTGACAGCAGGGATGTGTGTGTGTGTGTGTGTGTGTGTGTGTGTTTGTGTGTGTGTGTTGTGTGTGTGTGTGTGTGGGTGTGTCTGTGTCTATGTGTGTGTGTGTGTTCTTTCCACAACGCTCATTCCCGAGGCCTTTTACTGTACAGAACTCCTCGCCCCTTCCACGAAGACTGCTGCCATGTGACAGCTTCTCAGACAATCTTACTCGAACTTGGCCCTTTCAGCCTCACTCCCATCCCATCCTGTTGCCCAATTGCCCAAGACGCGTTGACGGTACGCTTTTCCCAACTGCTAGACAGTGTGTCGCCCCCGTCTAGCCACAAAAATGTCCGTGCTGGCGGATTTTTTTTGCTGCGTCACCTTTGACGAATCTGTCATTTGTTGACCTGGTTGGTTCTTTGGGGCTGTCATTCATCCATTCTAGTGGCGGAATGGTTGCAAGTTGCCACCAATATCGCGTGCGAAGCAAAGGGTGGTCTGATCAGGGCAGGTACTGTAATTTCCCATGCACCGACCACATTTGTGAAACTGAAATTGTTGGGGGAAAGTTAGGGAAAAATCTTGCTCGATGTCATCCGCAAGTGTCATCCAGACCTGAGCGGAACAGGGTATTACAAGGCAGGAATCACCCTTAACTTTTTCCCTCGCCCAGGATCATGCCATACGTCATCTCACGCACATGCCGAGGGAAGCATCGCGCGAACAGACGGAAGCCAGGTCCTCGGGGCAGCGGGGGGTTTGCGTCGCGTGGTTCATTATTTCAGCTTTGTCCCCCGCCATTCGCGCTGTGTTGGATAAATTACGCTTCCTCCCTCTCACTTCATCCTAGGCCTTCTACTAGCCTTTCTTTCTGCCACTTCCATCTGCTGAAGTCATCTCACTAGTTGCGGGCGAGCACCTGAAATGGCGTTGCCAGCAGAAGGCCCGAAAGCTGGGGTAGACCATCCTGAGAAGGAAGTGCAGTTTTTGACATCTGATCCCATCGACATTGGGAAACCTGCGTCCGATGCCGCGTTGACGGAGAGCCATTTGATGCTCGTGAAAGCGTTCTATCATGCCGAGAAGCCTGCCTTGCCCGCTCCTTCGGCCGGGACGTGCGATGACTTAGCATGTTTCGACTGGTGCCCTTCTTCGCCCACTTCCGCGCTCACCCATTCCTTGCCGTCGCTATTTCCACCCTCATCTCCTCACGGATGCTTCTCGGATTTCGAAGGAGACATGGTGACAGAAACGAGAGTCCCCGACGCGGCTCTCGGAAACGAACCCCTGTGGCGCGCCAATGCGGGCGAGTTGCTGCTGTCGCAACGGAACCTAACACCTCCCGAAGCTGCCCGCGTCTCAGAAACTACTACGAATTCCTTGGCGTCCCGCAAGCGCCGGTTCTCTGGTACCACCGACTCCGTGAGCAGCTTCATTTGCTGCGACGGCGAGCGCGCACTGCCGCACGGAGATGCTGCACCCGCCCACTGCCGCACCATTCAAGGCGCGGCACCCGAGAGTTGCGGGGCGTGCATGGAATGCACAGAAGGCGGGACCCCGCCGCCGTTGTCAGCGGCGTGCACTCGGAGGGCGGACGACGTGGAGCACGCAAATCCTGTCGCGCACCCACCCAACAGCAGGGGTACAAGTGTCGCAACCATTGCGATGCTTCCCAGCGTACCTATCATCGGCAGCTCGACAAACTGCCGCCCGCGGCCGCTCCCCGCGTCCATGCGGCTGACCATGGCGGACATCAAGCGCGTCATCGGGCTCAAGACAGCGCCTCCCACCAAAAAGTGAGATTCGAGCCGAAAGACGTGTCTCCGATGTTGGTTTGTGTTCCTAGCGTTCCGCAGATCAATTTCAACATGATGGTCGGCCCCCGCTTGACTTGTCCCCTTGCCCCTTCTCGCGTGTGTCAGACCACGGAGAGGAGAAGCCACGCTGCCAGTGCAACCTGGTAAGCCGTGCTCGGCGGACACGCACGCGCAGTCATCGCATCACGCGCCACCGCATCTTCCGCACCGCACGCGTACCAGCCTTCCCCGATCTCATCGCTCTGCCAGCATCCCCGTGCCCTTGATTCGAACACAGCACGAGCCTTCTCGCTGCCTGCCAGGTGTTGCCGCAATGCCCAGCCATAACATCCGCGCGCCGCATATGTCTCCCACGGCGTCCCCGCAGACTCCGTCCCCATTGGCGGCGGAACCGGCGGTCGTCCCGTGTCACTACGACGAGGTGGAAACCAACGGCCACTCGTGTTCTCCCTGCGACTGCCCGCTGCCCGACTCCATGCCCCCTGCATCCTTCCTTCCATCTCTGGCCGCAGCCTCGCCCGTGTCAGCGACCGAGGCTGTGGCTGGTCCACACTGGGCGAGGTTCGGTGCACGGAGTGGCGGCAGCAGCAGCAGCCTGGACTTAAGGCCTGTACCTCCCCCGTCCTCCAACCCGTTGCCCATGGCATACGATGAACGATTCCGCCACTCTGCCCCAGTATTGCCTCCTTACCCTGGCCCATTCGCCATACACATGGGCGTAGGCGCGGGTATGGGCCTTGGGCTACAAATGGGAGCAGTTGGGCTCGAGTGCGGGAGTTGCGAGGAGGAAGGGTGCACCTGTGGTGCGGGTAAGACCTGGGATGGGAAAGAGATAGAACCAGCGCAGATCCCAGTCCCGTGGCTGTCGACGCCAGGAGCAGCACTGAGCACTGGGGTTCTCCCGTGGCTCTCGATGCCCCCTTGCCATGTTCAGCCCCTGCAGTGGCAGCAGAACCAACGTCTCGAGCAGCAAGCAGTGGACGCCTACCCTTTGCCTCTTCCAAGTATGAGCAGTGCATTACCGTGGGATTTAAACGTGCATGCTGGTGTTGCTGGATACTCAATGGAGCGGGTCGTGTGGCAGGACAAAGAACATGGTGCTGCAGAGTTTACACACCCAACTGTGCTTAGTCTCGACAGCATGGCTGCAAGGGGTCAGGAGACAAGGGGTGGAGAAGGCCTACAACACCGGGCCACGGAGCACGACACTGCTGCTAAGGGTGATCGTGCGAGCTCAGACGATGAGAAGGAAGTCAAAAGGTGAGAGATTGCCGTTCCATCCTTCAAGCATATTGTGAACATTTCTGCAAAACACTGGTGCCGTTGACATAATAGAAACTCACTAGTAGATATTTGTTCTTTCAGAAAGGAGTCTAATCGAGAATCTGCTCGACGGAGTCGCGTGCGCAGACAGGAGATGATGGATCGGCTGAATGGAGAGGTGAGGGGGTCAAAGCCTTTGTCTGTCATTCCTGGGTTTCAGTGGGGGTTGGTTGGTTGTTCATAGAAAGAAATCCATCTGAAGTGTCAACCATGACAGTTCCTATAAGTTCGCGAGCTTATGGAAGAGCTTGGTGCTTATGGCTGCTTGACTCTTTGCAGGCTCGACAGCTCCAGCAGACCAACAGAAGTATATCCGAGCAAGCATCAAAAGCAGAGGAGGAGCTGAAAGCTCTTAAAGCAGTCCAACAAAGGCTCAAGGACGAATGTGCAGAAGTGAGGAAGCAGCTTGATGCAGCCGGCATCAACCAAGACGAGGCCTGGACCAGTGTTTGTTGAAAATGTGTGATTCCTGCGCCTTTGGTTGCACTCTATCAGAATCAGGTGACTGCAGCACAAGTGAGTCACACAATTGCTGTTCAGATCGATAGTGTGAGCCTGATCCAACGTGGTTTCTCCAATCCATGGTTGTAGGAGCATAAGCTTACCATTTTATGAGAAGTCAGTGCAATGGGTTATGGTGTGCCTGCTTTGATGGTTTTGCTGCGTGTTTCATTCAGTTATAAACACATTTATGGTGTGATTGTTGCATAAGCATGATAATAGTGAGAAAGGCAAGTCTTAGGAATGAGGGTGGGAACTTTTCAAGGATTTCCTTGTAACGTCACGAGATGGTTATCACTTTCACCCTTGTACTGTACGTAACTAGGTTTCTTCGAACTACACGAGGCGCACAATGCTGTGACGATCATCCACGATGTGCGGGAGAGGGACGTGGAGGGGTGACGACTAGGGTGATGGTCATCAGCATTCTTCGCCAAGGCTTCGCGGAGAATCCTGACCCCAGTCTCGGGGTGGCGAAATTTCCAGCCCAGTTGGCGAGGAGCGAGAATGTCGGGAGCAAGCGCGTCTGTCGGCACACGACAGCCTGAAGCCCGTCATGTCAGCTAGTCAGAGCTGATGTGGTTCGCATGGAGGATGGCGAAGTGCTCCGATGGCATGAGTTTTAGCCAAACCTGCGCTATAGGCTGCTGCGCGCTGATGCCATCGGTCTCGACTTGTCAAGGGCGGACGCCCGCTGATTAGAGAAGCGTGGTTCCGCCAAACCTCCCCCGCACGCGCAATTCAAACCCCGCAATGCCGCCAGCTCACCCCAGTTGCAGCCGCGACGCCCCCCGACGTAGACGGTGGCAGTGGGGGGGGAAGAAGCTCCCCCTCCAGTTCAGCTTGGCCGGGCTCGTGTTGGCCCTGGAGCCATCATCCCTGGAGCAGCTCGTTGTGCCTTGCCAAAGATCGTCCGCCATTCTTGCGTCATCTGATTCGTGAAGGCAGTGACCTCCTGGCCTCCCTCCATGGCGTCCCCGATTCCAACAGCCGACACGAAACGCCACACCATTAGTGAAACCATGGCTCCGTTGGAGCTAGAGCCACGTCATAGGAACCCACTACAGCAGCACCGTAAGTCTATTCGCGTGTCCGTGTGCGAGAAAGGCGGCAGTAAGGCTATCTGTTCTATGTCGCTGTCGGACACGGCTCTGGCGGAGAGCAAGCTGCTAGCGGACTCGCTATCGGACCACTGGAACGACCTCGTCGCCACGTCCATCAGCTCCAGCAACGCCTCGCCGCAACTCGCCCCTCCGCATTCGTCGGCGCCTGCCAAGACATCAGCGAGTCCTGGCTCAGTCGCCGGCAGCGTGTCCAGCAGCGGCGGCACAGCGGCCGAGGAACCGCATGTTCAGCTCATGGTCAGTGATTACGTCGCTGACGTCAGCTCATACGAAGCCACGCTACGACTTTTAGACGGGAAAGACCCGAAGGCTGAGATAACGTCGGTGAGCAAGGCTCTTAAGATACTCCAGGTGGCCGCGGACCTGCAGTTCGACGACGGTATTAACGCGTGCCTGCGGTACCTCGAGGCCGTGCCGTGGTCCACGGACGAGGAGGTCGAGGTAGTTAATGTCCTCGCGCGCCTCGGCATGGACCAAACTAAGGGCGGGCTGCGCGTCCTGGCGCGTCTCGGCCCGACGAGCGCCGAGGCGGTGTACAACGTTCTCAAGAAGCTCGTCTCTCAGGCCGTGGCGCGCGCCGACGCAGTGCCGCCCGCCGACCCGCAGTCCAAGGCCATGTGGCGGGCATCCGTGGAAAAGCTCTTCACCGGTGGGTCACTGCGCGCCGAGGTGCGGAAGCGCGTGTTGTTCGAGCAGCTGGACGAGTTGATCGACCGCGTGCAGGCGTGCGTGGTGGAGGAGGCGGCCGGGGGAGGCGGCGTCATGCACTTTGTGGACATGGCGGCCGACGCATCCAAGGAGCTGGCGGCGAAGTTCGCGGTGGAGATGGACAACGTGGCGTGGCTGATGGGCACGATGGTGGACCGGCTAGGGTTCGCGGAGTACATCATCAAGTGGCTCAGCGAGGACCAGGGCTTCGTGCGCCACGTCGAGTACTTCACGCACAGAGATAACCGCGCGGAAGCCGCCATGTACGACCCCTTGCTGCCTATCATTCTGCGACTGCTGACCCTCATGGTGGGCGGCCACGCCATCATCCCCACCAACACGCGCGCCGCGCTAGTGAAGCTATGGCTGCCCGTGCTGACGACCATTCCTCGGCTGCCCGCCGTGTTCTCGCGCGAGCGAGGGCGGCTGCTGGGCGAGATGCTGGGGCAGGTGATCCTGACGCTGCCGTCCGCGCAGCAGGAGGAGGTGATGGACCTCTGGCTCTCGCACTGCGGCGGGCGCTACAACGCCTGGCTCGACATGGCCGCCTTCCTGCAACAGTGGCTGGAACGAGCCGCAAGGAAGATCAGGGACTGAGGGAGGGGGGACGCCAAGGCAGGCGACGCATGCGGAAGGCCAGGAGCGGCTCGAAGGGCTGGTGGATGGCAGGGGGGGGGGCGGGTGGCACTGGCATGACCTCGGGCATGCTGCAGCAGGCGCAGCCATGGGCGCAGGTAGAGTGAGGTGGAGAACGAGGGTGAGCGCACAGGGGTACCAGCAAGGGGTGGGGCTGTTACAGTGACACAAGGACTAGAGAGCGATGCTGCTTGTGTATATTGCTAGGTGCCGCTGACGAGGTTCATACGGTAGATAGTGTTGCTTGTTGATAGGCTATGTGCCCATGTGCTTCTGTGCACATGTGCTGCCCTAGCCTGGAAGCACGCACATGCACATGATGAGCCATAGCTGCAGCTGCAGGAGCAACCTCTGCTCTGCAGTGCGCATGTGCTAGCTCGTGCTGAGTGCAAGGGAAGACACCCTTGCAGTGTTGGCCTGCAGCATCATGAGGTTGATCTAGCATGTAGTGTGTTTGTGCATTTGTTTGTATTGCCTTGTTTTGCTTCCTAGTTCTAGTTAGCGTTGCTTATTGAACATGAGGATCAAATATAATCTGTACAACTCCACTAAGCAAATGTTACATGTGGTACCCTTGTCAAAAGACTAGCTTAGCTAGGAAGCCATAGAATGGCACAAGGTTTAGCTAGGAGCTAGGAGGAGCCTGAGAATGGCGAGAGGTTTTAGGTGCTAGGAAAGTTGAGGAGAGAAAAGAGAGTTGGATTAGAAGAGAGGGGAGTACAAGGAGGGGTTTGTACCCCCTACAGAAAGGTTCAGTAACAACCTACCAAGCCTATATTAAATTATAACTTATATAATTTGAACACACCCCCTAGGCTTGGTAGTCACATGCCCACACACACCCACACCCCCTAACCTAGCACCCCCATTCCAGCCACAGTGACAGCGACTCTAGGTCGGTCGACCCACGGTGCGTGAGGCGGCGACGTCGACCGCAGGGGCTGCGGCGGCGACGGCAGCAGCGGCGGCAGTGTCGACAGCGGCGGCGGCGGCGGCGTGCGGCTGCGTGGCCCCGACGCAAGCGGCGACAGCGGCGGCGGCGGCGGCTTCGACAACAGCGGCAGCGGCGGCGGCACCCGCACCTCTCGGTGACGTGGCCAGGCCCCGCGACGGTGGGACGGCCGGCGGGAGTCAGCCGTCGTCTGCGGAATGGAAGAGGGCACAGGGGAAGGAGGGGGGTGGGGGGGGGGGGGGGGCGCCACAGGCTGACATGCGGCGGCCGGTCTAGCGGCGCCACAAGCGTCACGCGGCCGGCTGCAGCCCGACGACGCCATCATGGAGCGGCGTCGATGCCGCAGCGGGGCGTCGACGTTGCGACGGCAGCACGACGTCGCCGTTACGCCGACCGCGCGCTGTCGCGTAGACGCCGCGGCAGCGTGACGGTGCCGTCACGTCGCGACAGCATCTTGACGCGACGGCGGAGCTGCGGCACGACGGCGCGGCCACAGCAGCTGGACGCGGGCGCCATGGACGTCGACGGCGGCGCCGCGGCACGACGACGCGGCCACAGCAGCTTGACGCGGCCGCCATGGCAGCGCGAGATAGAGAGAGAAACGAGCACGCAGCGGAAACGCGAGGAGCAGGCCCACACGGAACGAACTGCTCTGATACCATGTCAAAAGACTAGCTTAGCTAGGAAGCCATAGAATGGCACAAGGTTTAGCTAGGAGCTAGGAGGAGCCATGAGAATGGCGAGAGGTTTTAGGTGCTAGGAAAGTTGAGGAGAGAAAAGATAGTTGGATTAGAAGAGAGGGGAGTACAAGGAGGGGTTTGTACCCCCTACAGAAAGGTTCAGTAACAACCTACCAAGCCTATATTAAATTATAACTTATATAATTTGAACAACCCTATGTTATGAAATAGGAAGTGTCAATGTACTAAAACGTGAGAATACAATGTCGCTATTGCAATGAGGGCACGAGGTTATATAGGAGTTGGCGTACTAGGGCGATAACCTCGGAACGTGGGTAGGTTCGGCAATGTGGCGACAGTGCCAGACGCGACTCGGGAAAGGGTTGGGCCGATAATTGAGGCCGAACGTGACGAGTCGAGGAAGTCGGTGTCAAACATGTGTATTTGTCATGTTTGTATAGACTGTATAGAGTCACCTCTTAGAGGATACAAAACTTAGATATATTTGTGTGTACTCTCACTTTACGATTATTCAATTATTCTGATATGGTATCACGCGTAGGTAGGATCCCCCCCCCCCACCTACCGCTTCCGCTCATGCCCCCTAGCGCCCCTTCCTGGGCCCCGTCGCGCTCCTCCCAGGCCCCGTCGCGCTCCTCCCAGGCCCCCTAGCGCCCCTCCTGGGCCTCGTCGCGCTCCTCCCAGGCCCCGTAGCGCCCCTCCTGGTCCTCGTCTCGCCCCTCCTGGGCTTCGTAGCGCCCCTGCCAGGCCCCGTCGCGCCCCTCCTGGGCTTCGTAGCGCCCCTGCCAGGCCCCGTCGCGCCCCTCCCAGGCCCCGTCGCGCTCCTCCCAGGCCCACTAGCGCCCCTCCTGGGCCCCGTCGCGCTCCTCCCAGGTCCCGTAGCGCCCCGTCGCGCCCCTCCTGGGCCCCGTAGCGCCCCTCCTGGGCCTCGTCGCGCCCCTCCTGGGCTTCGTAGCGCCCCTCCTGGGCCCTGTAACGCCCTCCCAGGCCCCGTCGCGCCCCTCCCAGGCCCCGTCGCGCTCCTCCCAGGCCCCCTAGCGCCCCTCCTGGGGCCCCGTCGCGCTCCTCCCAGGCCTCGTAGCGCCCCTCCTGGGCTCTGTCGCGCCCCTCCTGGGCCCCTTCGCGCACCTTCCAGGCCCGTAGCGCCCCTCCTGGGCTCTGTCGCGCCCCTCCTTGGGCCCCGTAGCGCCCCTCCTGGGCCCCGTCGCGCCCCTCCCAGGCCCCGTCGCGCCCCTCCCAGGCCCCGTAGCGCCCCTCCTGGGCCTCGTCGCGCCCCTCCTGGGCTTCGTAGCGCCTCTCCTGGGCCCCCCGTCGTGCCCCTCCTGGGCCCCGTAGCGCCCCTCCTAGGCCTCGTCGTAGCCGTCGCCGTCGCCCGGCCCCGTCGTGCCCGACCGGCGCCGTCGCGCCCGCCCGACCCCGTCGCCGCCGCCCGGCCCCGTCGCGCCCGCCCGGCGCCGTCGCCGCCGCCCGGCCCCGTCGCGCCCGCCCGGCGCCGTCGCACCCTGCCCGGCCCCGTCGCGCTCGCCCGGCCCCGTCGCAGCCGCCCGGCCCCGTCGCACCCGCCCGGCCCCGTCGCACCCTGCCCGGCCCCGTCGCAGCCGCCCGGCCCCGTCGCACCAGCCCGGCCGCCGTCCCGCTCGCCCGGCCCCGTCGCACCGGCCCGGCCCTGCCGCACTCGCCCGGCCCCGTCGCCCCAGCCCGGCCCCGTCGCGCCCGCTCGGCCCCGTCGCCCCGTCTCGGCCCTGTCGCACCAGCCCGGCCCCGTCGCGCCCGCCCGGCCCCGTCGGGCCAGCCCCGGCCCCGTCCTCCTCACTGGTACGGTTCCCCCCCCACCCCGCCCTGCACCGCACTGTACCGCACTGCACCGCACTGCACCGCACTGTACCGCACAGTACCGCACTGCACCGCACTGCATCGCACTGCACCGCACCCCACCTAGCTGCACCGCCCTGCACAGCACTGGACTGTTCCTGATGGCGGCGGAGCTTCGCTTCGACGCTGAAGGTCAGCCCCTAGAGTTCGAGGCGTGGCTTGCCGACCTCCGCCGCCAACTCACTGGCCAGCGGCAGGATGGTGAACCGCTTTCCGCACACCTTGACGGTACGCTCCCCTGCCCAGACCCTCCTGCTATTCTGCCCGCTGACCCCACACCCACTGAGCGTGAGTCTACTGCTGCCACTGCCCGTGCGCGCTCTGTCTGGCTTTCTCGCGATGCTGTCGCCCAGCTTGCCATTAGCAACGCCTCCCCCCGTCCGAGCGTCCTCGCTTTAGGTCCCTCACTACTGCTCAGGCATACTTAGATGCTGTCATCAAGCGCTATTCCACCCCTCCGGCTGCCTCGGTGGGTCGCCTGATCCTCCCGCTGCTCTTTCCTGACCTTGCTTCGTTCCCCACTGTCTCTGACCTCGCTGCCCACCTGCGCTCGATAGAGGAGACCTGGCGCGCGCCTGCACTGACGCACAGCTTAGAGCCCACCAGCCGCCCATTACCTCTACCCTCTACCTGCTTGCCACCCGCCTCCCTGACCGCCTTGCTGTCGCCCGCGACCGCTTCCTTAGTGTTCACCCCGCAGACCTCACCCTCACTGACTTTGTCGACACCCTGACTGTGATAGAGACCCGTCACCGCTCCATCGCCCAGGCGAGCGGTGTCGTGCCGGTCCCTATCTTTCAGGGTTGTGCCCCCGCTCAGTGTACCTTCTCCGACGGCTCTGCCGCAGTGGCTGAGACTGCTGCTGCAGCGCAGGCCCGTTCTGGGAAGGGCCGCCGCCCAAGGCTGGGCGCGGCGGAGGGGCGGCGGGGGTGCGGGCGGGGTAGTGGTGGGGTCGGGTCGCCTGGTGCTGGAGCGGACGAGGGGACCCTGCCCAGTCCAGCTGAGTCGCCGCCCCTGCAGTTGCAGCAGCCGCAGCAGTCGCAGCCTTCG